GTCCGGTGCTCTGAACCACGCAGGACATCCACAGGCCATCCCAGATAATCTGAGCCGTCACGATGTTGGAGCCGATGAAGGCTGTGACCCTCCACATGGGGACAGCACAAGCCACGATGGCCAAAAGCCAGCCCAGCACACATGACACAATACCGATGAGCTCCAGTCCTAAAGACATGTCTTCTTGAAGGAACTGTTCCAGCTACATGCAATGCCAGAGATGCTGGTTAAATAACTGGACAGCAGTTTGAGAACCTGCAATATAATCCTAATTTGGGCCAATGCCTCGGAGCAAACAGAGCGCATCTGTGACAAAACAAGTGTCCTTTATAGCCCAGATCAGGTAGAGAGGAGGAGCCTGTTAGGATGGAGACATTAAACAAAGGAAGGACTAGTCACACCAGAACAAAAACTGCTCTCCATTACTGGAAAGTACTGGGAATCAAGAACAAAAGATCATGTATTTGCACAACAATCTGTGTGTCAATGTTTGTGCACATTCCACAATGACATACATTTTTATAAAGGTAGAGACAAAATAAACATTTTTAAGATATTCTTTTGAATGGACAGGTCATTTTACTGTATTGCCCGCAATTACCTCTTGATTATTTTTAAGTTATTAAAAAAGTTATTTAGATTATTGTCATCTGTGAAAAGCAGGTGTTTATAAGGAGCCATGTTAGTACAGAAATCTCTAATTGTTAACAATTATTGCCATTTTTGGTTGGAAAATAGTAGCAAAGTTCACAATGTGTAGGTTGCTGTTGTGTACAACGGACTTTTTTAAATTAAGTAAATGTTCCAGCAACTGTTTTTTTCCCAAATGTTTCAAGTTGTTTTAATTAATACCTTGACTGTGCTGTAAGTAGGTTTGGGAGGGTTACTTCATAAAAATGTAATCAGAAATATCACAAGTAATGATTTACAATTACTTTTGGATTACTTCAAGGTCACATACGTAAATAAAATCAAAAGAAATGCAATATGATCTCATATTAAAATTTTTCCTGGTATGTTTTCTTAATATGTCTGAGTAATGTTATTAGTTGTGTAGTTGTAACTATATAAGAAAAAAGGACACTGTCCTTTTATAGAAAAATGGTAAATACTCCAGGAGAAAAATCCAGGACATTCAAGCACTTTTTCAGTACAAAATTAATAAATTACATATTTTTCTTAATTGATCTTTATTCCTATAAACCCCTATCTATAAACTGAATATAAAATATGAAAAGAATACAGACTGAAGACAGAATATTAACTTAAAATAAAAATAATAACAATAATAATAAAAAGTTAAATGTCTATATTATGTACTTGTACGTATATTCCTATACAAATGAAATTGATAGCGCACCCAGCACTCGCCTCATGCCCACACCTCAGGATCATTCATGTTCACATCTCTGGATGGCACTGACCACTGGGGATATGAGAAACTTTTCCACATAGAGAAAGCTGTAGTACTCTACCTGTGTTCATTAGCGGCTCTCTATTGGAAGTTCATGAAGCACATCCGTCAAAGCCATTCCATGTCACCGCTAACCTGGCGGGCAAGACTCATCTGGACAGGCTGGATCGACTCTGCGCACAATAGCCATGCTAAAGGTTTATCAAACCAAGCTCCTTAAGGCCGTGGATGAGAATGGCCTGGATGCTAAACTATTCAGAGCACTTTCAGTGCCACAGACGTGACTCTGCACTCAAGGTGATGCCACAGTACATTGGTTGCAGTATGGGGAACCTCATTGTCTAGGACCGATATTTGTGGCTAACCCTGACAGAAATGAGGGACTCTGATAAGACAATGTTTCACCATGCAACTGAACCCGACCAGCCTCTCAGTGGTTGCCATTAACAGCTTTGATGAGAGATTCTTGGGGGCACAAAAGAGGTCAAATGCAATGCAACACGGCCTGTCAGGCTCGTTCCTGCTCATCTTTATCTCACTACCCAAAGAAAACCTCAGAAAGAGCCTGATTCAGCTCTACAGTCATGGTGCAGATGGCTACACAAGCTACACAAAATCGCGTTCAAAATCGGCAATGAATCGCCTGCGATTTTAATTGCGATTTTGTGTAGCTTTTCAGTGAACTACGGCTCTGTGTAGTAAATGCCGCTCCATCTGAAAGCATGTGCTGGAGATTTACTACTAATCACAGGAGCAGCTTTACTGACAAGATGCGCATGAAAATCGCATTCGATTTTTTTGCACAGCCCTACTGTGCATACATACTGTTGGATTGAGGTGTGGAGGTCATTGATGTAACTGAACCCATTGTCAGGTTCATGGAAATAACTTGTAATCGTGTATGCCAGATGAGATTAGAAGATGAGTGAACTGTAGCCAATAAAGGACGCACATGGTCAGCAAAAATACTTCTTCTTCTTTACCTTTATTTAACCAGGAAGAAACTCATTGAGATTAAAAATCTCTTTTTCAAGAGTGTCCTGGCCAAGATAGGCAGCAGTACAACCATACATACATACAGGTACAAAATATAGTAACATAAAACAACTGAAATAGCGAATCCTTTAAAATAAACCACAATCAATAACACATCAGGCAGAACATCTACAGCCAGATGTGACTGCCTCCAAGTCAGTTAACATCCTCTTAAAAGCGACCAATGAGACCAGCGTATTAATTTTCATAGATTTCTGTAATTTGTTCCATGAAGAGGGAGCAGCATACCTAAACGCCTTTTTTCCCAGCTCAGTTCTAACCTTTGGAACAGACAGAAGGAAAAAATCCTGTGAACGAAGATTGTAAGTCCCAGTATTATTTACACTGATGTAGGTCAGAAGGTAGGATGGAAGTAGACCTAAAATAGCTTTGTATATAAAGATATACCAATGTTGAAGTCTCCGCATTGATAGAGAAGGCCATCCAACACGATCATACAGTTCACAATGGTGAGTGAGGACTTTAAAACCAGTGATGAACCTCAGAGCTCCATGGTATACAGTGTCCAGTGCATGTAAACTTTGAGACGAAGCATGCATGTATAAAACATCACCATAGTCAAGTATAGACATAAAAGTGGCAGCAACCAGCCTCTTTCTAAATTCGAACGAAAGGCAGGATTTGATTCTATAATAAAACCCTAATTTAAGTTTTAATCTTTTTGCTAGCTGCTTAATATGAAAGGTAAAAGAAAGAGAGTCATCTATTAAAATACCAAGATATCTGTATTCAGAGACACATTCAATCTTCATTCCCTGGGAAGCGAGGATTGAAGGCAGATTTGATTTGGATTTCAAATTTGAAAAAAAGCATGACTTTTATTTTTTAACAAAACTTGCATTTAAAACAAGTTTTAAATCATAAAGATTCTGTTGGAGCATGTTAAAATCAAGTTGTAATTGGGAGAGAGCCTGGTCTGCGGTGGGTGCTGAGCAATACAGTACAGTGTCATCTGCATAAAAATGAAATTTTCCTTTAGACACGTTACTATCAATGTTATTTATATAGAGAATAAAAAGTAGTGGCCCCAAGACTGACCCCTGAGGCACGCCTTTTGTTATTTTGAGATAGCGAGAGGTGTTGCCCTCCGCCTGCACACACTGAGCTCTGTCTGTAAGATAATTATCAAACCAGCTGACAGTTTGTTCAGAAAGTCCAGCACTACACAGTCTGTGCTTAAGCACTGTGTGGTCCTACACGTTGGATGTGGCATTTTAACATTGCTCAATTAGTATTGGGACCCTAAAGCCGGCATCCCCACTGAACAGTTTTAATGACATGTTCAGGTGAAAATACAAACTTTTGAACATGTGTTTCAAAGTGCACATTTTTATAAATGATGCCATCATCTTCTCTGTGAATTTGTGAAAACGGCGATGTCATGCACGTGTATTACGTGTTCAGTCTGTAGGTATGTACACATGAGTGTAGTGTTTCTTTACAAAGCTGCATCACCAGCTACTTTCCTGGCATGAATAATACAGCGTTTTTGGTAACACTTTAGATTATGCAACACTATTCACTATTAACTAGTTGCTTATTAGAATGCATATTACTATCATATTACCTGTTTATAAGTAGTACTTATAAAGCACATACTGTATTAATGCCTTATTCTGCATGACCATATTCTAGATACCCAAATATAACTATACTACAACAACTGCATTACTTTCTATCAGCAAATTAGGAATTTATTGAGGAAACCTTTTCAAAACTACGAAGGAAAAACTTTCTGTTTCCTCATTCACTATCCCTTATACAGTAAATGCCATATTACAGTGTACAATGTGAAGAACCCTAAAAGTTCTAGGATCTTTTCTTTTTTACACAGACTTTAATATTGTGCACCAGAGAGGACTCGTCAATATCATTAATTGATTAGAGAAATGTTCCTACATTCGAATATATATATACAGCATGAAGATGGGGGAGGATGCCGCTCTTAAGAAAAATGTAAATTTACTTTTAAACATATTTAGACACACATCAGCCAATGTGTCAAGGCATTGCAAGTTATGTCTCATATTTTATGGATTGCATGATACTCAATTGTATTAAAGTTACAGTCCTAAACTAAACTAAGCTAAAAAAACTCGAAGCTGCATGGATGTTCTCAAAGGTCCTTAAGCAGCTTCAAGCTCTGAGAGATTCTTCTGTGTTTTTGTTACATTCCATGACCCAGTGCCTTATCTTCATCCCTGAAACGGGCCCATTGTCTGGGACTGGCTTAGATTAGGGCCCTGACAAAGACAAGCTTCTTGTGCAGAGAGCGAGTAGACCTTGAAAACAGGTGAATAGCTAGGCCTAGTGACAGCTGATTCAACTCATCACCTCATTATTGAGGAAGGTTTCTTAAACTGACTATTCTTCATTGTGTTTCATAGACAACTCAACAAAGGTGGCACAGTAAGTTTGTTCAGTGCATTTTCAAATACTTTTTTGAAACAAATTAGTTGTATGTTAATAAATGAAAATGGCAAGGACCAGAAAAAGTCATGGAACAATTAGTATTTTTTTAATGGCTACGGTTAATTTTCAAACCCTGCAGCAGACAGAGAAGTGGCACACTTAGACTACAAGAACATTAATTCGTGCATCATATAAATCCATGCAATGGCAATTTTACAAAAGAAGCACTGAAGAAACATTTTAATCATTGGTAATAACACAATACTAAAAATGGCAACATCATTATCAATATACACATGGGTATGAACATACTTATTCATGTGCTTATTAATAATGTAATACTTGCAATTCTTAAAAACTGGTTGTATAAACTGGGTAACAAAAGAAAGCACACAGCAAACTAGGAAATACACTTGAATGGCAAAACAGCAGAACTCACTGTACGGAAATACACACAGTCTTGTGCCTTGTCATCACGTTCTCTGTTCAGGACACAAATGAACAGAGTTGCATCACAGAAAGAGTATGTTTGTTCACACATAGTCTCGTTTGTCAAAGCCACTGGGTGGTACAGAACGTGCAGCGGAGTAAACCATCCTGCTGGGTGGGCCGTACCTATTCTCCTCCTGCGGGGGGCAACTGCAGCAGAGAATCCCCCCACCGATCAGCAGAAGGGCGCTAGATGCCCATCCCAGGTAAAGAGACGCTCCTATCTCCCTTTTTTGTGCCTCAATGATTACGGGGTTGTAGAAGGATCTGATGATACTGTGAGCAGACCAGCACACAGGGATCAAGTGCATGACCGCAGCACAGATGAAGGTGACTCCAGCGGCGATCATAACTTTGGCTTTGACGCGCTCCTCCTCTAGGCATTTAGTGCACTTGGCCCCCACAATGGAGAGCAGGAATCCCAGTACTCCCATCACAATGGCAATCACACACAGAGCCCGGGCCGCCTGCAAGTCTGAGCTCAGAGCCAGCATGGAGTCGTAGATTTTGCACTGCATCTGACCAGTGCTTTGCACCACACAGTTCATCCAGATTCCCTCCCATATGGTCTGCGCCGTTACGATGTTCACCCCGATGAAAGCCGTGACCTTCCACATGGGCAAAGCGCAAGACACAATGCCTACAATCCAACCGAACACAGCTAAAGTGACCCCTAGTATCTCTAACCCTAGAGCTGCCATTCTGTTTTAAGAATTCGCAAAGGAAAGGCTCTCAGCACAATGGTTCATGCTTTATAATGCAACGATGAGGAAGGTGGAGTTATGTTGGAAAAAGTCTCGGGGGATTGGCTAAACTTTGAGTGAGCTTAACCTTGGCATGGAAACGAGTTAGTTTAATGATTTAGCTCTCTTCATCTGGTATTTCCCACTCGGAGACCAAATGGTGGATAGATAACAAAAGCCCAGCGGGAACTAGTTAAAGGATAACTGGCACGACTACTGCAAGTCTAGAGTTTTGAAGAAAATACTTCCAATGGCTTAAGATTGAAATGCATGCTTAAGGTGCATAAACAGGTATTCTACAAGCACACACTTAATTTGTTTGGATACTATGAGCAGAGATTGATGTGAAAGTGATACTTCAACTGATTCGTCACCTGAGAAGGAGCAATAAAGAAAATGAGGGCTGAGAGTCAACAAAGACTGAATCAGTGATGCCTGACAGCGTGACTTTAGCTGCTATCAGCAGTCCACGATTCCCTCAAGGCCACACAATAATAGAATCACTCTAACCTAAACAGCATCAGGCATTATTAACTCTCTCGCTCTCTCTCTCACGCACACATTATACACACACGTAGTCTTTAATCAGTCATGCACAGATATGTGAAGCCTGGTGACCTTTCATCAACCTTTGCAGTGTTTAATTATGTCGGAGCATGCGGAACAAGTGGAATGAGCATCTTCCAATTCTATTAACAGGTTTTCTTTCATACACATTGGTTGTATATCATCTATGTCAATATTTAAATTTAATGAACAGTAAACAAAATGCTGTTACAGTACCTTGAAGGATAATATTGAATGACTCCAAGACAAAAGTAGGTTAGCATATTAAACCTACCAGAGCTTTACATATTTTCCAAATGGCTGAACATTTTGAGAAAGAGTTACAGAAAGTAATTATTTAGGCATCTGCTCTGTAATATAGCAGGTGCTTTTATCTTCACTCGTGGAAGTCTCAGTTACGCTCTCTTGACTAAAGAATTGGGCACAAAGAGATTTACTAGAACAACCAGCGCATTGTCTCCATTCATGTCTGGGCCGACATGGAGAGTATCATTTATATTTGTGGTTGACCTGTAAGAGAAGGAATGATTTCAAATTATTACAAAGTGCACGGTTTTGCTGACATTCTTTGCTTCACTCTAATTTCAGAGTTCTCCAAGTTTTTTTTTTTTCATTTTTGCTTCAGTTCCACCTTGATTTAATGTTATGTAATGCCTGTTTAAATAAATTCAGGTATGTTTGTCCATTAATTAATATGGTAACACTCTATTTTAATAATCCACTTTAGACATTCTACTAACTATAAGTAACTTTGCACATACATGTCAACTGTTTCTACTAACTCTAAACCTAACCTAACAGTCTACTAATACTCTAATGAGAGTTAGTTACAAATTTACTTATAGTTATTAGAATGTCTTAAGTGGACTCAAAATAAAGTGTAACCATTCATTTTGCAATATGAGTGGAAAAATCTGCATTTATTATCACAATTTCAGTGATATAAAAGAGCAACTGGTTATTCACCTCTTAGCATTTGGATCATGCAAAACTTAGATCAAAAGGCAAAGTTATTGCAACAATAACAATTACATTATAAAAAGAGGTGCCAGGTTGGTAATCAAAGTTCAGCACCAGTCATTAATTTGTTATTGACATTTGAATGCTAGTCATTTAGCAGTCTTGTTGGCTTTTCTCTCAAGGTCCTTTATGTGCAAAGATTCAGACCTCTCAAACATAGTCTCTCCTGTCATATCCATTCACCGAGATAGATTTGACCCCCGAGTAGTCCACTCTTGTCGGCGCGGCATTGTTCTGTGCTTTTGAGGAGCAGGAACAAGACAAAATAGCTCCACCTAGGATCAGCAGGCAGGAGGCGCCCCATCCGAAGTACAGTGAGTTCCCAAACTCCCTCTTTTGCGTCTCCTCTAGAAGCGGGTTGTGGAAATCCAGGATGATGCCGTTAGCTGTCCAACAGACGGCCACTAGCAGCTGCAGCCCACACGTTATAAACGTCACCCTGGCTGCCAGCATAATGCGCGGCTTGTTTGCTGTATCTGAGGTGCAGTTGGTGCACTTTGCCCCAGCCACTGCCAGAGCCATGCCCACCACACCGAGCAGTGTACTTACAACGGTGAGAGCCCGGGAAGCTTGCAGGTCGTCGGGAAGCCCCAGCATGGCGTCGTAGACTCGGCAGTGCATCTGTCCTGTGCTTTGCACCACGCAGCTCATCCACAAACCTTCCCACACGATCTGCGTGATAACGATGTTCTGGCCTATGTACGCCGCTACTCTCCACATGGGCAAACAGCAGGCCACCATCACGCCGAGCCACCCGGCCACGGTCAGGATCATCCCCAGGATCTCCAGGCCGGCGGAAGCCATCGCGCTTCGCTGTTCTGTTCTGTTTCACAGACTGTGGTGCTCAGGATCAAGGACTCAGCTCTGAAGATTAGCTCTGATATTAGAGACTTGAGGATTTGCTTAAATGAAGAAATGGTGAAAGAGAGAAAGGGAGAGAGAGAGAGAGAAAGAGAGGGAGGGAGAGAGAGATACGGTTTCTACCTTCTTTATACTGCTAAGAGAAGATGGAAGGTGGAGTCTTAGATGGCATCGTGGTTTGTGTGGTACAAGAGAGACTGGGGCTTTTTGTAGCACTTTTCTTGTAACAGGATGGCATTATTAAAATGATCCACTCAAATGCTTCATATCTGGAAGGTATTAGGTATTATTTTTATTTTTAATCAAATGCGACAATGAGGAAGAATAGCAGCGTGTTGCATGCATGAAAAAAGTGTTTGAAATCATTTTGATTGTTACCCTAAGAAGGAAGACTATAAAAAATTTAAAACAATGCATTAAAAAGAACTAATATTTCTGTCTTCTTTACTTGTTCAGCCCCAGTAATTATATGGTTCAGATTTCAGTCCGGTTGATCTTTCAAGCGCCTGCCTGCCATGGCATCATATAAAAGTATACATGTTGTCCCACATTAAAATCTAGTGTCTCATGTGTCCTTGAGAAAATCTGCTGAATCACTCCTTTTTGAGAAGAGACAATTCATCTCTTTGTTTTCAGGAGTAAGACACATACTCCAACGGGATCTCGGAAGTATCCATACTGTATGTAAAGTGTGCTTCTAACACACTTACATTTTCCATATGTTTGCATGGAAACATACATTATTAGCATACTTCATAGAATTAATAGGCTGACTTTGTTGAGTGACATAGTTTGTTCTGCCACTTATCATCATATTGAGCACGCCAAGAAAACAGTTGATCTACAATATTAGCCGGTAGCACTATTTGAAGGACTTATTCTCGCTATTAACTATTTGCATAGTAGCATGCATATTACTAGCATTTTGGCTGTTTATTAGTATTTATAAAGCACATATCAATGCCTTATTCAGCATGACCATATTTTAGATCCCTTAAACCTACCCCATACCAAAACTTAACAACTACCTTACTAACTATTAATAAGCAGCAAATTAGGAGTATATTGAGAGAAAAGTCGTATATGTGTTTTCTTTTCTAATGTGTTATTAGCCTAATATCAACATAAGTTTATCACGGTGTTAGTTGTAGTGGGTGACTAACAAGCTATACGCTACCAAACAAATAGCTAACATAGCAGACTCACAGAAAAATACATCGGTTATCTTTTTTTTTTTTATCATGACTAATTTATTAATAACTCATCATCTGTATTAAAGAGAAAAGAATCATTTCATCATATTTCATGTTTAAAGTGAATAAAATAGCCTTGACAGCCTCCTTACTGGAGTTCCACAACTACTGAAGAACTTTGTTTTCTCCCACTTTCTGTGTGTTGGTGAGGTAAAGGGGGAAAGCAGGCAGTGGTCCAAAGCACTGTGAGGCAAGGGAGGAGGACTCAAAATGTTTCTAAACTTAAAACACAGCTTTGTTTTGTGCCCCATTTGCGTTTGTATTGTTTTACTACTTACAGTAAGTATAACTTTAAGTATATATCATTATATTTTTTACAACACACATCGTGGTTTTTAATGATATTTTTTGGGGGGGGGGGACAACTAGAAACAAACAACCGCATATGTAAGCAGATGCATATGTAAAATATTGTGATCATCAAACATTAAACAGCATATAAATCAAAAACTGCCTGACATTACAAGGGAAATGTCGACTCAGAAAGTGGTTTAGGACTATGAAGCTTTGAGGGTGTTGATGGACTCCATCTATGTTTTGATCATTATTCTGAATCCGGTGCAGACGTAGTCTTTGACAAAAACTTTTTGAAAAAAAGAATGCATGAAGCTATAAGCTTTTTTTTTTTTAAAGCAGAGGCTCTGTTGTTTCTTTTGACATATTGCATGTTCAGATATACATACAACAAAATATTCTGGGTGTCATTAAAGTTTTTTGAAAATGCTAAAAAAAAATGCTGGCAGTGGCTGACAACTTAAAAAAAT